CACACACACACACACACACACACACACACATACACACATACACCCATCCCCTCCCACTCATTTCTCTCCCTCCACTAAACTCAGTCATTTTCAAAATAATAATATATCACGGGTTTCCTGGACACTCTGCAGTCAAAGTATGTACTGTGTAACTTTGACACCAGTAAAGAATCTTTATTGATTACAATTAATTACAATAATGTTATCTATCTGACGCTGATGTCTCGTTCTACTTTAAAGAACCAAACATTGTTCCTGTAAAGAAACATCTACTCTCATTTTATCCGCTTTCGTCCTGCTAGAAGGGAATTCTCATTAGCTGGCAAGTGGAGATACCTCGTGAACACTTCGGTCGTAAACTGGATAGCAAACATAATTGGATTGAGAAAATATGAGCAAGCCTACTGTTTATGTTCAAGCAGCATAAGAGGTATATTATTTCACATTGTGATATTTCTACGGGAACATGGGGTTGATTTTAGTCATGATGAAGAGTTTTAAAGGACGAGTCCCGCCTTGAACACTTTTAGTCTCGTCTTTAGGTGAGATTCTATTGCTTCGATGATAGAACTCATTCAACAATTATAGGCCAGTCTGTGTTTGCATGAGAAGATAGAAGAAGGTATTCTGCTGATGCTAGTCTAAGACAGTGACAAGACAGTTCTGTAAAAAGCAAATTTTGAGCCTGTATTAAGAAAGAATGATAAGTTGGATACATCTGTCGCGCATAATATAGTCATGGCCACCCAAAGAGACACATCGGAGAGTGGAGACCTCAGATGAGCATTGTAAATCAAATACGTTCTAAATGGGGTGCTTAAAATTACGGCACCGGCGTTTTTATCGGTTTGGTTTTTGTTCAAACATTCATGTGTAGGCCTATTCTTTTAGACAGGTCTGGGGTAAAATGCAGGCTGTTGTTCAAACAGGAACGGTATTCATGTAGTGGAATGGTTACAATCGACTCTGTTGTTTAAGAGGCCCTTCAACCACTTGGCTAGGTCCTATAAAAAGTGTAGACATCGGACTACTGAAGGACAGCGACTGTGCTAATTTAAGCAAATGCCTCGTCTTGATTTTATGAATCATTGTATCAATGCTCAATACTTTTGTTGTGTACTTGCAGCTGACAGTTTAAGTTAGAATGATGTATGAAAATAGACTCTCAATAGGTTTGGGACTTTTAAAACGAATTTTCACCTCATTTTGGAGGCCATTTTTCGCTGACATCAGGTGGCCCCTACCTCTTATCACCAACATCTGAGTTTCTATACAAGACAGATAGATGTGTATTGTTTTCTTCTAAGCTAAGCAACTGAATAGGCTTTAATATTATAACTCGAATGAGCCCAAAAAATGAAGCGTTTGATTCCACTGCATGGTGACAATTGTTAAAAGACTAAAAGATTTTCTCTCTTCTATGTAACCGAGCTTAGAGCAATAGAATAGTTTACAAGCAGACTTTGGTGTTTTGAATTTGAAATGTCTGTACTGTATTCCCCGTTTGAAAGTTATGTCCAACAGGTACGGATATTTCAGGCATGCTAAAGAAGCTCTGACTATTGATATTTGATATGTTGTTGGAAGAATCAGCAAAAATAAACGTCGGTCCTGCATTGTTAATTGTTGTAAGTTTAGAACTTCTTGATGTCACAGCAAGTTTATAAATATTATAGTCCCACATAGAGGTAGGTGAACCTCATTGTGCGTACTGGGTAAGTAAGTTCAAAGTTGAATTTTACTGGAAAGTCTACCGTATCTTTCATAGACTTAGACCAGGCTCAAGAGACATTTGAGCCGCTTAGTTCGACAACACTGGGAATTAAGTTGCTGGATCTTATGCGAAATCTTTCATTCTCGCCTGCAGCATCTTTTTCTTTTCCCCGTGTCCTGATTTTGGTTACCTAAAAAGAAAGTAATGGTGCAGATTGTTGTATAAAAGGGGAATTGTTGAGTCGGTTATGATGATGGTGATGATGATAATGATGATGATGATGGTGTTGTTGGCGATGGTGATGTTCTGATGTAGGAGATGAGTTGTGTATTAGTCTTAGTGTTAAGTTTGTTTGGTGCTTACTCTAGATCCCAGCCAGGCTGTCCTGGGTGACAAGACACAATACTCATTCCCAACTCCTCGCATAGAGTGACCAAAAATTTGGAAATAATTCGTCATCTTCATCCCTAGCATTTAATAAAAGTAGGCCGAAAAATCACATTGGGGGCGCTTCTAAGTGATGATATTGTTAGTGTGTTTGTTACCCTACGTCTATGCTATCATATTTTCAAAACAGTGAAAGGAATGTGGCCAATAATCTTCTTAAAAATTAACTTTCATAGTCAAAGCAGACAAACTTGTGTGCTTACAAGTTATCGTTATCGTCGTTCGCAACCAGTCCCGAGGCACTTCTGTGGTCGTCGGAGCATGTAAAAAGCCTGAAAAACCATGCCTAGACGACCTCTTCCTAAAGAGTAATCAGCAAATTCACCAAACAAGTATATCAATACATTAATGCACACAAAAAGCAACACGCAGTACTGGAGGACCGGAAACGAAGTTGCGTCCAGCGACAACTCAGACCCCACGGGCATAAAAAAACCCGTCTCCAAAGAGATAGAGCATTTATAGGCCAATATTAATGAAATGGAAATAAAAACTAGTTAGTATTAAGTGCAGGAAATGTTATATCAAATTACTTCCCTATTCTGTCCCCATGTGATAACACGCGACCGCGAATGGCACCATTAAGTCTGACTAAGAGTATAATGAAGGCCAAGAGAAGTTAAAAAAGCCTGCAGCATCTAATGTTTCTCATCTCACTGGAGTGTGTACTTCACTTAGGTCAAGGATCTTACACGTGCATGTCAGCACTCACCAGCAGTTTAACACCGCTTTCAGGATCTGACCAGCTACTCTATGTCTATCCAATGGCTAGTTTGTGTGACGTCAGTTCTGGCTTTAACGATTACCCTGTCTATTTGTTGGACTTGTTTCCAAAAGATACGAGGAAGCTGAAGGTGCTGGTTGTCAATTAAGTAATGAGCGTCTTTTTATTTCAGACACTTAAAAGAAACCTTCGTTTCTTAGTCGAGTTTTTAAAAAATCGTTTGATATTGAGTTCATTCTCTTTATTAGGGTTACAGAACAGAGAAACGTAAAACGCATTTGTGTGGGGAGATGGTCGAAATGCCATGCTAGCTGAGATAGATTTGTTTCATTTGGACAGATGGATATTTACAATAATGAAGATTCCCTCCCTTCTATAAGTGGTATAGAGCCCTAAATGACTATCACTGTTCGTCAAAAGACAAATTATTCTTGTGTGAGGTTCCAGTTGCTGGGTAAATCGCCTTTGTCAATTTAGATAATTGTCATACACTTCAACTATGTAGTATAAGTTCACAGCTTTTGCATCTTTCCGTTGTTTTTGACAGTTAGTGTGGTTAATATTTGAGGAACTGGGTGCTTAATGCACCTACTGGTTTATTACAAAGCCCAGACATGCTATGCTGATTGTTCCATCCTGTTGGTTTCACGTATCAGCAGATATTGTTAACAGTGTAAACCATAGCAGTTAATGTTCCATCCTCAAAGTTTATGAATTACATTGATCAATGTTTGATATCAAGTGGTAATGCCGCATGATCATCCACAATCAAGTCACGCATGACTGTTCGGACATCACGGTTCTCAGATATAGCCGCCCAAAAATTAACTGTCTGAGGTAAGGAAATACCACCAACAACAAGAAAAATAATAATATCATGTGTTCTCGTTTCAGAGCTACTTGGAATCATGAGCCACTGAGTTTGGTGTCTACTTCTATAAACATTACGTTTCTTTGGGATGGTCCTTCCACCCTTCAAAGTGGGGTGGCATCGATGACAAATATATGTGAAACCTTCCACCTGCATTAACAATGACAATGACAATCATTATTCATCTCTCAGGGAGAAAATTGTGTTGGTCGTTAAAAATGGTAGTAGACGTTACAAAAGTTAGACTTTAAGGTGCACTCACGCAAACGTGTAACAAGACTGGACATTAGGCCAAGTAAATACATGTCTCACGTCCTGGGACACCCCGCTCCGTAAAACACATACACACACACACTCTCTCTCTCTCTCTCTCTCTCTCTCTCTCTCTCTCTCTCTCTCTCTCTCTCTCTGTTTCATTTGTAGCACGGTGTTCTCAGTAACCTCACTGTAGTTGATACGAATGAATTTCTATATCTGTCTGTTCTTGCTTTTTTGGAAATGTATCGTTTTACTGCGGGTTGAAAGTTGAAATTCTGTTGTCAGTGGGTGGCTATGGTCACTAAGCAGTATTTCCGCATTTTTTAGAACAATTGTCTTGTGCAGATATTCAAAGCTACTTAGGTCTCTATCAATTGTTCTTGATGCCTTTCTTATCAACTTGTTTATTTTTATAATGTGCTGCCTTCCCGTAAAAACACCGCATCCCAATATCTTTCAAATCTATGAAGCTTTGTCATGCAGCAAAAGAAGAGCATGCTGAAAATGCTGAGTGTAGATACGCAACCTCTAAAAAAATGGAGAAAGGTGATACAACATATTTTTAAAAAACAATGAATGTATGTGTGTACGTGTATGTGTGTGTGTGTGTGTGTGTGTGTGTGTGTGTGTGTGTGTGTGTGTGTGTATGTTTGAATAATGACTAAGTGACAGAGACAGAAAGAGAGAGAGAGAGAGAGAGAGAGAGAGAGAGAGAGAGAGAGAGAGAGAGAGAGAGAGAGAGAGAGAGAGGCTAGGCAGGGCATGCAAGCGCCTCCATAATTTTGCTTTGGTTGTTCGATGTATTATGAAATAACCTCCTTTTGAAACATTCCCCTTCCGTGCAAAGTGCCCA